AAAAAAAAAAAAAAATGAGGTATTTGACTTACGTCAGAACTGACTTACAACAGTTGTCGGAACGGAATCCCGTTCGGGGACTATCTGTATTAATATTTCAGTTCATGTGCTATTAATCTTTACAGAAACAGACTGCCACATCTTTGTCCCACAGAGAGGATGATGGATTCGAACACCAACCTTTCAGTTACCAGCCTAGAGCTTAACCACTGCGCTACCAGAGCTCCTGTCCAGAATGCTCTACAGCTCTCGGTCAACAAATGCACTCCAGACAACGCAGTGGGTCAGAACTGCTTGCTTCAGCTCTTCTCTCACCTCCCCTATTCAATCCTCAGCCTCCACTGCAGGAGTGGGTCTCACCCCAAACTACAATCTCAGAACCTTCCTGCTGTCCTCACTGGCTGGCCAGGGAGTCCAACCACTTATATTCAGGATCTTTGTCCACATTCCCTACCCTTTTAAAATCTGCTCTCAGTTAACAACTCTTAGAACAACTAAGGTGCTGGTTGTTGTTGTTGTTGGGTGCCGTCGAGTAGATTTTCGACTCACAGCAACCCCATGTAACAGAGCAGAACTGCCCCATAGGGTTTTCTAGGCTGTAATCTTTATGGGAGCAGATCGCCAGGTCTTTCTCCTGTGGAGCAGCTGGTGGGTTCGAACCGCGAACCTTTAGGTTAACAGCTGAGCACTTAACCACTGCACCACCAGGGCTCCTCTAAGGTGTCGGTAAAGCATTTATTCCAAATGAGATCCATCCCAAGAATATTTGCATTTCCATAAGAACAATACTTGTAATTAACATAAAGAAATTAATCTCCATCTACATAATTTCAGGCATTAGCCAAAGGCAAGTTCAGGGAGGGTAAGAACATGGATGGTCCCAGGGCCAATTCTGCTTGTGGAAAACATCTATTTTTCTTATACTAAAACTAATAATGCCAGACTGGACTTAGGGTGGAAGCTTGGTAGCGCAGTGGTTAAGGGCTCAGCTGTGAACCAAAAGGTCAGCAATTCGAATCCACCAGTCACTCCTTGGAAACTAACTATAGGGCAGTTCTACTCTGTCCTATGGGGTTGCTATGAGTCGTAATTGACTCGATGACAGCAGGTTTGTTTGTTTTTTTTTTTTTGGTTTGGACTTTGGGTAAGACACAAATGAAATGCATTCTCCACTGCCTTCTACCAGACTCCAAAAAAATGAAACACTACACACAAAATAATTTAAGTTATTCTAGGAGTTCCGGCAAAATGGCGCTCTAGGCAGAAGCACCACACCGTCCCTCCACAGCAAAGATCTGAAAAACTAAGCCGAACAGAGAATACAACAATCCTGAAACCCTAAAACATCAAATGAAGAGATAAAGAACTCAGCCAAGAACCAAATGGAGTGAGAAAACT